GCTGTCGTCTGCTCACGGTCCGAAGAGCTCCCGACACAGACAGCTCGCGAGCCGCCCGGGCAAAAAGTGCGCATAGAAAGGTGCGGCACGCAAACAGCCATTGGTCGCGGCGGCGGCTGTAATCGACGGCCGCCAGTGAAAGGTGCCAATTAAGCGAGAGCTTCGACTGGCAGATGGATCTTGAATGCGCGCTCGGCGTTTGCCATTACGGCGGCGGGGTCGGCTCATTCAGAGATCGGCGAGGATCCGGTGCGGCGATCGGCCGCGACTAACGCGCCCTAATGGCGCGGCCGTCCCCAGCTCACGGAGCTCGCGCTGCGCCAGCCCTGACCCATTGGCCCAGGTGGTCGGCTAATGGCCGGCCCGTAACGTTAGAGCAGTGCCAATCGGCATGCCCTAACTATCACGTAGCGCACGTTACCTTGTATGCACATTGGTCGTTATATTTCATTGGATGATCGTTAGGAAATTGCACTTGCCCAGAGCATGGCTAGTGAAAATGATTTATAGAGAGCGCGGTCCCGACACATGCCTCTCAGTCTGTTCAATTGTCATAGCTCTTAAACGTGAAGTTGAGATTTCGTAGAAATAGGTACTCAGAAGTGCTGTATTGTAAGTTGTAATTTTCTTTTCATTTCTTTGTAAATCTAGATTCCATGAATCTCTTTGCTGATGCGTTCTACACATGCTCTGTATACCTACACATGCATGCTACCTCAGACCACTCCATTGCTTCCTGTTTTCTCTCACTGGCCCCACGTGTCGGCGCTTCTGACGGCCTCCAAGAGCCATCGTCCCGATAGGCGATACCCGGCGCCCCTAGAGCTTGCACAACCGGCGGTGCGTTGGCCTGTACACAGTCCGGCGTATGAGCCGCCGCCGCCGCTGCGAGGGCCGGCGGCGGACAAATATTTGTCCGTGGAGTGTGTCAGCCGGCCGCGCGAGCCGCGAGCCGCCTCTGTAGCGCCGCCGTGCCGTACCTCAGGGAGGCGGGTCCGACTGAGGTCTCCACTACCTGTCACTCAGCTGAGGGAGAACGGATCCAGCGTGGGCTCGGCGTATACTGTCCACCGCAGGCCCGGGATGAGCCGTCAGGATTGACGGGGCTTGGAGTAGATCTGACCGGCGGCAGTTCGAATTCGAGCGAACAGGGGCCAGTTCGGAGCAGATGTCTGGGATCTTTCCCTGCTTTCGATCGTCATTCTCTCACCTAAACTGGGCTCTGCATTGCAGTGCCAAATCGGCCCAGATTATTCAAGAGGCCGGTTCACGACGAACCAAAGCTGATCGCAGTCCTGACGCAGCTTATATGTAGGTGTCTTCCTGCCGAGACGTTCAAACAGCCCCACGGAGCCTAGCGTTCCTCTCCCACTCGGCCCTAGCGGACGGGCAGCGCCACACAGCGCGCTGGTGGCTGCTGGTGCCGTTATTCGGAGCCATTCATCGGGCTAATGAGGGGCTGCCGAGACACTCTAATGGCGACGAGTGACGCTGGGACGACGGACTGCGGATGTGGCTCCAAGGCCGGTGAGACGGTATAGTCGACGCATAACGGGAACGGACACAGTCGCTCTAAAAACGGAGGTGGAACACTTTTGGAATACCGGTAGGTGGGCAAAGCCATCATCTAGCTGGTCTATGTAGATAAGAATCCACCCGCTCCCAAGTCTCCCCAGTATCCTACCCGATGGAGCTTCACTGTGACTGAGAATAGACCGTCCCGACTCCCGGTCGGAAAGGGCACTGACAGAGGACTGGGAGCTGAGTCGGCTGGACCGGTCCTGCAGACGGAAGGTGGGGGAGTTTGGTGGGGGCTGAGTGCTGATGGCAGCCGGGTGGGCCGGTCCCAGAGTCCGTGACAGAGGGCTGAGGGCTGAGATCTGGGCCGGGTGGGCCCAGAGTCCCGTGACAGAGGGCTGAGATCTGAGCCGGGTGGGCCGGCCGCAGACGGAAGGTGGGAGGAGAGGAGCATCTGTCTGTCGGCCCGGCAAAAACAGGCTCACAGGCCGCCGACCGGCGCCATTGAGGCCCAATGACAGAAGCCCAATAGCAAAAAGGGCCGCCCCGCCCGCCCACGCCATTATTGCAATTTGTAGCCGCGCGTCCCCAGCCGTTTAACTCAAGGACAAACGAATGTGTTTTCGAATGTGACGAGTTGCATCCAATTATTTTCTTTGCTGATGCAGAAGACGAGCTCCCAATGGGGCCGTTTGCATGTCGTGGAATAGAGGCTAACTGGCTACAGTGTTCAGCAGTCACAAAGCGTTATCCTTTGTCGAAGTGCAGTCAGCTGTGTGTGCCTTTCTCCCATATCAGATGGTGGTTAGGCAAGAGGAGGACCTAATACCTACGTTTATCAGTACCTTTGGACGTTCATCAATTTCATGCTTATACACTTATTTGAGGATATATACGGCACGTTAGCTATTTACATGTTGAAATAACGAGGGTTGTTTTATGCAAAATGCAAATTTTATCTAGTTAGGTACTGCTTAGTACTTATGCATCTTTTTTTAAAAACACACATTTTTTTCTAAAACAGCTTGATTTAATTCGCTATCCTATTTACATCACTTACCATCAGTTGTCTGTACGCTGTTCTCTAGCCATCAATATTTTCTCAGTAGTAGAAGGACGCTAGACTCACTGCTCGCACCTGTGTTATTATCCACAATCGTGGCGGAAAGCGTGCCGTGAAAGTCGACTGAGTGTATCTCACCCAGTTTATTGATTACTGCGCCTAGCTGTAGTGTAGGGTCCTCCGGCAGGTGGTCTGACGCGGTAAGTGGCGGCTGGCAGGGTAACGAGGGCGGATTCCTGTCCACTGACACGCGCCTCGCCCGGGCTCGGACAGGACGGACGGCCCACCAGTCGCCGGTCTGCCTCCCGGTTGTGAACTGGGCCAGCGGAATGTGTAGAAGAGAATGATAATATTTTCTGTTACATTAAATGCAAAGTTGATAACAGCTGCAATTTCGAACGTAATGCAACATTTTTAACGTTTATTTTAAGCGATGAGCAACGGAACGGTGACATGAACACACTAAGTTTACAATGTATATTGCACATATAGGTCCGGTGCAGTGCACCGTGTGGAATGCACATCTACTAATTTTGCAGTGAAGCTACACGAATGGACCCAACCTGTGCAGTAGGCAACTATCACTTCTACGTTGGCTTTACGGTTCCGAAGTTCCGTATGCATATTTTTTTCTGTTTCCCCAATTTATACAGAACGTTTACGGGGCATATGTGTATGGTCAATGGTCATGGGCGTCGAGAGCGGGGGAATGGGGGAAAATAGGTGAACTCTACTAGTGACCTCAGCTTCGCCGTCTTTAATCTTCGTTGATAATGGCTTTGTCATGCACGAAATGCTACCACCACATGTGGCAAAAACAACTAGGAGAAAAACGCAGCGGTCGGCGGTGGTATGGAAGTGGCGTGAAATTATCGTTCAACTCAAATGATCTCCTTCGGTGTGTAATGGATCACGATTTCCCACGAAAGCGACCGATTCAGTCGGGCCCGCCTGCGGTTCAGCGCCGCCGCCGCACGCAGCGCGGTTTTTACTCGGAGGGACCACCAGGAGGAGTATCATTTCCAATTGGTTTCGGACGCTCATTTCACGCCAGTTCGACTGGAGCGGCCCGCGGGGATAAAAACGGCCACCCGATCACACCCGTTTGCGGCACGGTCACGGCGCGGAATCTCACAGCCTCTCCTACAGCTGCCACCTCTGTAGGGGCAGCTCGTGCCCTACCGCTGCCGTTTCTACGAACCGCGGCCGGCTCAGTGGCGAACGGGGGCCATTCGACACGGCTGTTTCGAGGGTCGGAGGCGTTGCAGTGCGCGGAGGGGTGAGGTGGCGAGGCGCGCGGCGACGCTCCGGCGCTCCACCACCCCCGTAATTGGACGCTCGGCAGTTGGACGGCAGCGCCGGGTGATCCGCGGCGCGCCACTGACGCCGGGCAGCCGCCTCATTTGCATGTCAGGCGTGTGCGCGACGCGGATGGAAGGGTGCCGACGCGGCCGAGGGTGCCGAGGTGGCGAGCGGACCGACTTCTGACGGCGGGGGCGCGGTCGGTGACGGGCGGGAGCACCAGGTGGCTGGTGGAGCCGCGCAGAGCTGTGTCAGCCCGCAGAGCTGCAGCCGAGTCTCGGACACGGAAGGCCAGGTGGTCACTCACTGTCGTAACGGAGTGGCATGTGTCCCCGCGGCATTCGAGACAGTTTTATTCACCGTCAGTCATGCTCGGCAATGCAGTCGACGCCTCGTCCATGTCAAACAGCAGCGTATTACCATGCGGCGGCCGCCAGCGTCTGTTAGCCGTGTAGAAAGTGGGGTCGGCCAACGGTGCTATATAGATCCGTTTTTACGCGGCCACTGCCGGGCAGCGCGCGGTTCCTGCCACGCCCACATTAACCCGGAATGGCCCACCGCCGCCCACCTAGCCCGAACTCCAGAGGAAGGCCCGACCCGACAGAGGCGGTCAGACCGCACTGGCCTTCCGGCGAGCCCTGAGGTGTGACTGCAACCACGGGACGTCACTGGGCGGGATGCCAGCCAACCCGTGACCGCTCAGCGGCATTGCTCGTCTTTCCATACCTTGTGCATAGGAGAGTGTTACTTCTTTTCAGGTCATACAGATGGATATCGTCTCTCTCTCTCAGAGAGCTATTCCTATAAATGCATAAGAACAATTTGCTACCTCCTGGTACGGAAGAGGAACTGTTGACGATATACCTTTCTATCGGGAAGTAGGTACGTTTTCGTTATTTTGTTTGCAAAGCTATTTGAACAATTTAAACTCGTATTCCGTTCAAAACTCAACCAAAGAGAATGACGCAACGTGCACTTGTGGACCATAATGTTGACTTAGCTCGACAGTTGAACTCGACACATATTCCTGAATTGGTATTTCTGTTTGATAAGCCAACACACTTCATTCAGCATCATGACGACAGGGCATACGCCGGACTGTGCTCAAACACCCGGGTGTGTTCACTATCTATCATCATGTATTGGACTTCAACACGAATGAACTCATAAAGCAGAGTGCGGACACAGTTGTTCGCGCGACTTCCTCCATATATTGACGGTACATTCACACGACGTTTACACAGTTAATATTACAGACATTCGTACAAACCGGCCAGTCGGCCGCTCCGCCTGCGAACCGCAGCCACGCGCACGGCACACATTTACACACAATACGCCGCACGGCATGATTGGCAAATGCAAGAATGCTCTTTGATCGATCGGTCTTTTGAGCGGCGCCCTGGGAGGCGCTCGCTCGCTCGCACCCCGGGATGGGACGGCGGCTCCCGGGCGGCCACCGCGCACCGCGGCCCGGCCCGGACGGCAGAGAGCGGCTCTGTACACGGCTCCTCGGCAGCAGCTCCACAGCGAGGAGCCAGGCCATGCCGCCCTAAATGTTAGACTTCTCTCTGGCGTCAGCGCCGCGAAATTCACTCCGCTGACGACTATTTGAACATCGTTTTCACGTATCGACACTCTGTACAACATTATTCTGTGTATTTAGTGTCCGGTTCCGTTGAACCACGCACCGACTCTGTCTTCAGTGTTCAGTGTTTTCTCACACTTTGAGACTCGCTCGGCCAGTGTATCGGTCACCGGTTACCGGTGTCCGCCGGTGGCCGTTCTCACTCGCTCACTTGCACGTGTGGATGGTGCGCTCCCGACGGCACGTCTTACACTGCACCTTGCAGCACCAGATGAACTTGCAGCTGCAGCGCTCCGCCACGGTGACGTGCTGGGTGTTGTAGCCGCGGCCGCAGCAGAGCAGGCCGCAGCCGTCCGTGCCCTGCGAGGTGCGGTCGCAGGTGCGGCCCGTGGTGCCTGCGGACGGCACACGGGGAGAGGTTACGACTGAGGGCACACCAGTCACTGAGGGGCAGAACCCTGCGAGGGGCGGTCGTAGGTGCGGCCCGTGGTGCCCATGGGGGCGGTAAGTACAGTTGACTGCAGAATGTTGTTCCACTTTTCACAGGCAGAGTTGCCTGGAGTGGTAGACTGTGCCGCATGACACGGGCTGAGTTCCAAGACACGCTTTATTACGTGATAATCTTTGCGTTCCAGTCAACTGATAGCTTCTGAGGAGTGCAACATCATTATGTAGTCAACTGTACACGGGGAAGGGTTTTAGAGGGCACAAACGAAAACATACGAGGTAGCAGTCAATGAAGGGGCACCGTTCTGAAGGGCCAAGTGTCAAAGGAAAAGACAGGATATTGGCGAAAAAACAGACAGGCAGACGGACAGACGATCGGATAGATGGGCCAGCGACGGATGACACTTGTCCCCATTTGCATACACGTATAAGTACGCAAAGACAATTAATACACGCACGCACATATGCTGAAGCCTATTCAACAATGGCCTTGCAAACGCATACAAAACAACAGACACGCAATGCATCACGCGGTACGTGCAGCTAAGATTACTTCACGCGTGAAAACAGCCTGTCCAGATGAAGGAAGACGTGTCACGGAGATCGGGCGGCGAGTCGGAGACCCGACCGCTCTGCTTTATCCCGACCCGACCGCTCTGCTTTATCGCCACCGATGGCCGATGGGAGATTAACATGAAACGCGCCGACTCGGCGGGAGAGGAGGCTGCGGGACTAGTTCCCGGAGACGTCTCCAGCCAAGGTGTGACGATCGGGGCAGATGACGGCCGATCTGCGTGCTCCGGGTGGGTGCGGAGGGGTCAGGGGTGCAGCGCTGGGTGTGATGGTCGGCGCTCGTGACTTGTGTCGACATGCACAGTGAACCGGAAATTAATGTGACTTTTTACGGATGCCCGGCACTCGCGCGGCCATCCACTAAATCAGTCTAATCAGGTTTAGTGTGTAATTATTTTAAACGCAGGGCAGCTTCAAGGGTCCTCCACCGGTCGTAAACATTCCAACTGACCGGTACGCCACTGTCTGACCCGGCCAGGCTGCTATTTTCCGGCACACCGAATTATCTAAACGGCTCCGCGTTGCAGCTTTACGTTTACCGTAAACATCAACATGATAGACCCCAGAGTGGACTGGCGCCGGAGGGGTGACATTGCTTTGAGGAATCAGCCGCGGGCCTTCCATTCCTCACGGGCCATGGTCGGCCTGTTACGCCCCTGGCCGTCCGTTCCTGCTCTCGCCACCCGCCCGTTCCGGCGCCCACCTGACGAGCCGAGCGTGCTGTTCTTGCGGCAGTAGTCGGGACTCTCCTGGATGTAGACCAGGTCCTCGGGGGTGGGTCGCCGGTAGCGTCGGTCCGTGACCCGCAGCCGACCCCGCCGGGTCACGGTCACCTCCGTGGCGCCGTCGTACTTGTCCTTGAGCAGGTCACCTGCAGGGGCGCGCACAGGGGGTGTGTTAGGGTATAGAGGGTCGGCGCACACAGTAGAGAGCTTATAAGGGCGAAACAAGGTTACCGGAACACAAAAGAGCGTGCAAAGTGACACGGTGCATAGCTGGACACACCGGGACGCACACACAAATATATCGGGACACACAAGGTCGCCCTCAGCACGAGGGAGCGACAGGTGGGCGCCGCGGCTATTGCGTGCTCCACACCGGCCGCATATATGCGGAATGCTAATCCAACAGGCCCGCTCACCCGATATGGACCATAAACATGGTACAGACAGGGCTCACACGTGACAACGAACGACCTATGAATACGCCCATTTAATTCGCACGCACTGATGTAAACTTTGGCGCCACGTGCTGTTGAAACGGCATTTATTGCAAAACGCGTCACAACCCGGCACCTGACGTGATCGATTTATCGCCAACTGGCCTGCAAACACGTGTACAGCTGTCAATTGGACAGCCTCCTCAAACGGGCCGATCTCTGTGAAATCGCCGGCGTTTGACACAATCGGGGAAACACTGCGAGTCGGATCCTCCCACCAATCAGATTAGGGCAGGGCGGGGTGGACAGACGGCCGGCTGATCTGAGACTATCGCGGCTGACTGACCGGCTGACTGACCGGCCAACTGACCGGCTGACCCGGGGGTGACCGGTCAGGTAACCGAATTGTGAGATAGCGGCGAAAGCGAGGTGATTGAGCGCAGCGGTCAAATCGCAGCATTGGTCGTTTCGTACGCCAGTGAAGGAATTTTAAAGGTAGTGTGCCACCTTTGAAAGATTTCCCATTTTATTTTTCCTAGGATAAGAAGCTTCTGTTTTTACCTAATAGGTATCGCAAAAAATCAAAAATGGGCCTGGAATAGTGCCTTTTTCGCCTAAAAGTTTATCGGTTTTTCGATGTGTATAACAACTGTAGTGGGCTGAGCTGCAAACAGGCGTCGGCAACAATCGCGAATGCGGCGCACATGTGACAATAAGCAAAGGTCATTATAGAGTTACTACGTACGGGAATGAGTTATCAGCTGTCTAATCGTAGACAACACAATGTCGAGCCTTAAACTGTAAGCCTGTATTGGTATTGTTTCTTTTATTTGGCTGTCGAACATTATTTATGGTTTGAAATATGATTTTATGTAAAATAATTGATATGAAAAAGCCGTCTCTTAAGTTATGACCCCATTTCACCACACGCAAGTGGCAGAAATGACAATGATCAGCTGACGCATTTTTCTTGGCCGAAGTCAGAGCGCGCGGCCCGACGCACCACCACCGCACCACAAAGTATGAGCAGAAGCCGCGCCCAAAGCCAGGGCCCCGGTAACGTGAGGTAGCCGAGTCGGGGCAGCGTGCGCTGACCCAAGCCGGGGCCGCAGCTTTGGGCGCGGTCTACCGCATCCCCGCGGGCAGCCCCGGGCTATCACATGACACCGGGAGGACGCGCGGCCCCGGCTTGGGTCAGCGCACGCTGCCCCGACTCGGCTACCTCACGTTACCGGGGCCCTGGCTTTGGGCGCGGTCTACCGCACCACCTAACAGGCGTGTTCGAAACCGCAGGAGATGGTGATGAACGGGTTTATCGAAACTTGATTGGATGAGCATATCGGTAATAGCGATTTCAGCATAGGCGTAGGAACAGGGGGGGCCAGGTGGGCAAGTGCCCACCCACTTTTCGAGGTGGGGGGGCCAACCATGTGTTTTGGCCCACCCACTTTTTACTCGAGGCCCCTCGTCTCGATTTGAGAGGACGTCGTCACCTACCAGAATAAACAAACTCGGTAAAAATAACTAATAAGTTCCACGAATCTCCACGCACGGACTCCAAGGGGCCGATGGATCCAAGGAGGCCCTCTGTTCATACTTGTCAGTCGAAACCCCTGAGACTGATGGCCTGAGAGGCCCTAGTGGATCTGAGGAGGCCCCAATATCCACACTGGTCTGGGGAGGCCCCTGACACTGGCGTTCTGGGAGGCCCCTCTATCCACACTAGTCAGAGGTCTGATACTGGTGGTCTGGGAGGCCCCTCCATCCACACTAGTCAGAATAGGCCTCTGACACTGGCGGTCTAGCCGAGGCCCCCTACCCTCACTAGTCAGAGGAGGCCCCTCTATCCTCAATAGTCAGAAGAGGCCCCTCTATCCTCAATAGTCAGAAGAGGCCCCTGAGACTGATGGTCTGGGAGGCCTATCCATCTACACTGTAGTCAGAGGAGGCCCCCTGAGACTGAGGCCCTTATAATCACACCAGGCAGAAGAGGCCCATGAGACTGATGGACTGAGAGGCCCTTCTATTCATACTGGCCACAGGAGACCCCCAAAACTTTCGGTCTGGGAGGTCCCTCAACCCGGCACCAGTCAGAAGAGTCCCCTGAGACTGATGGCCTGGGAAGCCCTTATATTCACACTAGGCAGAGGAGGCCCCTGAGACTGATGGTATGAGAGGCCCTCATATTCACACCAGTCAGAAGAGGCCCCCGAGGCTGATGGCTGTGAGGCCCTTCTGTTCATATAACTGGCCACTGGAGGCCCCTGAAACCGGTGGTCTGGGAGGGCCCTCTATCCACACTAGTCAGAAGAGGCCCCTGAGACCGATGGTCTGAGAGGCTCTTATATTCATACTGGCCACAAGAGGCCCCTGAGACTGATAGTCAGAGAGGTCCACTCCTAATGAATCTGAGGGGGCCCTCTATCCACATTTACACTTTTCAAGGGAGGCCCCCGAGACTGATGGTCTGAGAGGCCCTTTTATTTATACTGTCCACAGGAGCCCCCTGAGATTAATGGTATGAGAGGCTCTTCTATTTATACTAACCAGAGGAGGCCCCTAGGATTGATGGTCTAACAGGCCCTTCTATTTATACTAGCCAGAGGAGGCCCATGAGACTGATGGTCTGAGAGGCCCTTCTATTCAAACTAGGCAGATGAGGCCCCTGAGAATGATAGTCCGAAGAGCCATGCGGCGGCAACTGGCCGTGGCCATATTTCGGCTCGGTAGGGCCCCACAGAGCTCATGAGAGCACCCTAAGGGCTCCTAAGTAGACACGCTTATCCCCATAAGGGTGCCACGCCGGCTTCTGAAGGCTCCTTGCAGGCATCTAAGGGCCCTTTCCGGCCTCTAACGGCTCCACCCGCCTGTGATGGCTCCACACCAGTGTTTATGAGCGCCACACAGCGGCGCCTTTGAGGGTCATAACTCATACTAGTGTCTCTTAGAGCCCTATATCGGTGGCTCTGGGGGCCCGACACCGGCGCCTCTGTGGGCCACCACACCTGTGCATCTCAAAGCTCTATAGGTACATCTGAAGGACCCACACCGAAACCTCTGAGGGCCCCACACCAGTATCTCGGAGCTCTGAAGGCCCCACACCGGTGACTCTGAGGACTCACTGGCTCCTGAGAGCACCATGTTGATGTCTAACGGCTCCACAAGGCCACTGAAGGCACCACACAAGCTCTCACTGAGCTCTAATGTCCATGTACCGGCCTCTGAGGGATTTAAGCCAGCGCATTCGTAGCTCCACACCAGCAATTGTAAGGGCTTCACACTGAAGTATCTGAGGGTTCCACACCGGTGTCTCTAAGGGCCACATACCGGCATCTCTGAGGGCCCCATACCGGCATCTCCGAGGGTCCACATCTGGCGGGCACCCATCAGCGACTGAAGGTCCCACACTGTCGACTCCGAGAGCCCCATCTGCGTCTGGGAGCACCATGCCGTCTCTAAGAACCACGGCGGCTCCTCGGTACGAAAGATGGGCGTCTGCATGCCAAAGGGGAGCGGTTCTGAGACAGTAGGGCACCTACGTGCAATAGAGGGGCGCCTATGAAGCCCATAGGGGCGCCTCAATGCGAAAGAGGAGCGCCTCTGAGGCCTACATATATGGGCGTCACATGCAATAGAGGTCTGCAAATGCAATTGATCAATGCCATGGGGGGTGCATTCGTAAGAAACAGGGGCGCCGGCATGGCAAAGAGAGGCGCCTTCAAGTGTCCATAAAAGAGAGACGCCTATGATAAGCGCACATTGTATGCGACAACGGGGCGACTGTGGGACATATAGGGATGTCTCTGATGACTATACATAGGGCGCTTATATGCCAAAGAGGGCGCCTATGAAGCTAATGGGGGCACCTGGGAAACGAGGAAGACATTTGTGTAAGGGTTTTCAGGGGTCATGCGCCGTTTGCAGCAAATAGATTCTAAAAAAAATCGGAGAGTGAATAAGTTTTAAAAATGGTGCGGACTTTCCGCACTGTTCGCGGTGCGGAGCGGTTACACCCCTGGGTACATCTGCCCGATCTCAGAAGCTAGATTTGGAGGTCATACTTGAAAGCAGCCAGCAGGACGAGGCTAAAGTTGGAGGCCCCTGAAAATAGGAGGCCCCCTGGAAAAGGAGGCCCCTTGACAGGGTGGCCCACCCACTTTTCATGACGTTCCTACGCCCGTGGATTTCAGTGTGTGCATTTATTGTTCATAGTGGTGTGAAATGTGGTTGGGGTACGACCGACAACCCGTCGGGGCGAATTTCGCACTGGGGTACTCAAAATTTGAAGAATTTAAGACGTTTCCATGAGTTTTGAAGGTATGGATAAGTTCTAAAAATCCGGTTCTCCTTATCTGGGCCATTAACTCCATACGGTCCAGGAAAGCTGGCACACTACCTTTAACAAAACGTCCTATCCCATTCAGATACCATGCATGCTGAATTATATCCTATTTTGACTTCATATGTTTCCCATCGCAACACACCCTCTCCTCTCCTGACCCGCCCATGCCCCAAGACACCCATCCCTTCGCCTCCCGGGTGACACTCACCGACTTCTCTGAAGGCGGGCAGCCGCTGCCAGCAGGTGACGGCCGAGCACGAGCCGGACACGCCGTGACACTTGCAGTTCAGCTTGGTCAGCGCAATCACCGACTGTCGGAGAGAGAGCAGAGGGTGAGACCCCGCGGCGGCTCATTATTGATGGCACACGCCGCCTTATGAATAGCCGGCCACCGTTTGTGTGTTGCCTGCAGTGGCGAACACGGCGGCGGGTCGCCTCAGCGCCGCTGATGTATACAGAGCGGGTGTCGGTATGCAGGGCGCCTGACCAAATGAGACGGACCCGAGCCTGTCGGGCCGTGAACTCGGCCCGATGTGACATGGGACCGGCCCGTATCGGCCGATGTGGGCGGCTATCCGGCTCAGATAAGGCGCTCCAGGGACATGGGCAGGGTGCGCAGACACCGGCTTGTCGCCGGCCGCCAGGCGCGGGGCCGGGGCCGGCGGCGGCGCCCGTGTCTACCACTGCGGACACCAGCCGCCTAACAGCGCGACTGGTGTCGGCTGGGGCGGCTGACCGCCCGGGCAGTGTTCGAGTGTCGTCGGACCCGCCCTGGCAGACTGCCGGGGCGGCCTCCGAACTGGCAGAGGGCGGTCACCGCTCCAACGCGACCCTGTCGGCTCAATAGGCTGCCGTGTTCACCCGCCCCGTCCAGACAGACTGTCTGTCGACAGGGGCACTGCCACAGGGTCGTCAGCAGGGGCCCGACGATGCAGAAGGCTGTTGGGCAAGGGTAAATTATGTCTGCTGCCAAGCCTCCTTGGTATCGCGCTCTGCCAGCTCTGATGGCGAGGGATGGTTGCTATCGATTGCAAACAAAAAAACATATCGACACTTTTGTGATAATTAATTCATCCGTATGGAACTTAACCTTCCGAGTCAACATTCCCTGCGAGACGTTGCCCTCAGTCCCGGAGCGTCTCTCTCGTGTTTTAGCCCGGGACTGCTGCTGCGGTGGTGTGGCGATGACCGGGATATTCCCAGTCACGGTGTGCGTGCGCCGCCCGCCGGGCGTCTGAGGGCGCCGCTGATGACGCGCCGTTCCCGGCCGGACCGGGGGAGGTGCCGGCCAGTGCAGCACTGGCTGTCGGTGAGCGATGATCGGTCGGCCGCAGCCGCGCCGGCCGCACGGGGAGCTGCCCTGCCCTGCCCTGCTCTGCCAGGGTAGGTACAGCTCCGGATACCAGCGGCCCTCACTGCTGGATGTGTGGGCGGTCAGCCGCGCCCGGAACGGCCGGCGAGCGGAGACAACCGGGCCGACCCGGAGAACCGACCGCTGTCCGCTGACGATACACGGCCCGGAAACGGAAACCGCGCCGCCGGAATGGACGGAAATTTACGGGGCCAGCTCGGACGCTTCTGGAGGAGCGCATCTGCTCAGATAGCGTTTTATGGCATTCTCGGGATGGAAGTCAATTTACTGGCGCCGTTTTAGGACTTCTACTGAAGCGAAACATACGATTCGGAGGTCATTCTAATGGGCTACAAACCCTCCGAGTAATTGAACGAAATGTGACATTTATGAGCAGATGTTTGCAAAGTGGGCTGAAAATACGCATGCAACATCAATGAAGTTCATTGTTCAGGAAATTTTCACCAAAGTATGATCCATAACTGTATGATGCAACGGCTGGAATTCGAGAGCCTGTGCTCACTATATGCTCTGCTGCAAAGGAAGCTATCGATGTTGTTATGCTGCCACTTGTCATAAATATTAACACATCCATAAGCCGATGTCGCCATAAGCAATGCTTCACTCATTATCATACACGACATTCCGTGGCATCGACACACATATGTTGCAGATCTTCTACATGCTGTGGATACTGTCGGCGTAACGAACCAATGGCCCTTTCTTCTCAAGCACGCAGAGCTTTCCTTCCCTCCCAGTTCCGCCGCGGGTGAGCTCTACCACCTCTCCGGTCTCAGCCGTTCCCAGAAGGCGCCGTCTCCCGGTGCGCACCGGCCGGCCCTCTTTACCTCCCCCGGTCACGACCGCGCCGCGTCTCTGCCGGAGTACCGACCTGCGGCGCGATCGGACGCCGGGGTGCCGCCGATCTGCCGCTCACGACCGCCGAGATGGCGCTATGACGAATGGTCGCCGCCGTTCGAGCGCCGGTGGCGGCCCGCACTCGTGCCGATTCCCGCCGAGATTCGGCCGACCGGCCCGTCATGGGGGCTTTATGGCGTCGCGTGGGCTTACCGCCACTGTCAATAAATTTCTGGACGGCTTTTAAGCTAATGTTCAGCAGTGATGGCGGCTGTAACTTCTCGCGGCGACATTCCCGCATACGCTCGTGCGTGCAGCTCGGCGCGGGGACGTATCTGAGGGTGTGCAGCGTCCGCGGCGCTCTCGGGTTCCGACGGCGGGCGATAGCTGCGGCTGGCCGTCACTCGTCTGGGCTGGGTCTGGGCTGGCCGCGTCCGGTCGGAATAAAGCCGTCGGCGGCGGGGCGCGCCATGCAGTCGGCCCGGTGCGACACCGGATAGTGGACGGCCCGCCGATCGGTATCGGCGAATTAATGCCTCATCAATGTCCGCGCCGGTATCAGATGGGTCGCGCGCACGCCCGCCGCCGGCCCGCTAATAAATTGATGGCCTCTCGGTCATAGCAGTGACGCCAAGCACGCCGTTCGCAGCACGTTTCACTCAGCGCCATGACACAAATTCGCGACTTTACGAGCGGCGACCGGTGCTGGTCTGAGCGGCCGCCGCCCGCCGGCGACTCTCCGCGGCCCGCCGGCGACTCTCCGCGGCCCGCTAAAGACCCGCTAAAGACCCGCTAAAGGCCCGCTAATCCGCGGCAGGTCGTTGGTGAACCGGACTTGTATGAGACGACTGGGGCGAACCCGTGCCGAAGGAGGATGTGGAGAAGAAAGGTAGGTACCTACTGCTTCGTGCACATTGCACATACAGCGGGAGACACTGACTGTATTTATTGATTGAATGATCGGTGATATCTGCACGACTCGCGGTATGTGAACGATGACAGGAAACATAAGTAGTCAGATGTCATCTCGACTCGAGACTGGTCCTTCTCCACTGATATGAGAATGAATGACTGTTGATTTATGTTCCCCAGAAGACTACTCAAAGCATAAACAAATACTTTTAAAAGTGAACCATGTAATAGCTACACACAGCGTCTTGAGGTTACAGACTAAACATAGCACACACACTATCCTGTATAGTTATTCTCTGGACACCTTAAAAACCTCATTCGCGTTACACCCACATTTCGCTCAGAAATCCCGGTGTGTTTCCCTAGAGTAGGTCTGACTGAGTGTCTCCCCGGGCTTTTAATTGGCACTTTGGTGACCGGGTTCTGGTGCAGTCTCTCCGGCCGACCGTTGCCACCAGTAGAGGTGGTCGGAGCCGCCGCCGGCCAGCGCTGAGGCTGAGCCAGCCCTCCGGAGAGGCTGGCACCGCCCCACCAATGGTCTCACACAGAGGGCGCCGAGGAGTTAGTGATTAGCGATGCAAATTTGTGGCGCTCGGGTGTTGTGTGAACGGATAACCGCGGGCTCGCCGCCGAAGGAGGGGTCGGTAACAAACGGATCGGTCGACGGAACAGCACCGAACGAGAACAGCTCCCTAGCTGACAGAGCCGACTGCAGTGGGATCCATCGTCCAGGGGGGCCCGTGTGGAGGGCTGCTATGTGACAGACTTTCAGAAAAAGTGGAGGGAGGAGGAGGACCAACAGCATAAGAGGTCTGGGGAGGGCCGGAGGCAGAGGTTGGCGACAGAGTTCGACGACAACAAAATTTGCATCAGACTGTTTGTCAATAAGTAGGCACCGTCTCGCTACCGTTTGTACTCACCCGCCGTCCCGCCTCGTTATTGTGAATGTTCATCCGAGACCTGGCGAACTTCACCGAGCCGCGCTTGTGCTTCTTCTCCTTTTCCCGAACGTCTACGAATCCTTTTGCAAACCTGAAACGGAAAGGATGGGACTAAGTTGAATAGAAAACAAACAAAATGATGTCTAATGCTTTGGCCAATAACATGCAGTATAACATTAGACTCAATGCTTGTGTCCACAATAAGGAAAAACAGACAGGAAAATGGAAATCATAAGAACGCTATTGGTCATCGCGATATTCACGATTCATCAACTCGACGGCGAATTTTGACGGGGTAAGGAAGATGTATGCTCGTCAGATGCGCACTTTCACTTATAGTCGCGGACGGCTTTTCATCCGTCTCAGCCTGATGAATGGATGAGTCTCTGTACTTGATCAGTGTTTCGTGCATTCAAAATTGACTATCTAATGTAAAATGGTTATGTATGCAAATATTACCTATTCAATCATCCATGACCCATGGACGTAGGATAGGGTCCTAAGCAACAAACAATCAAAGTATCAGAAATATATTATAGCATTTGGGAAAATTTTAAGGACAAAATACAAGGAATCCATGTTTAATTAGTTGCAATAGAATTGCGGTTCAAATTATCTACCCATACGCTACTAGTTATATCATTGTGCATGCAGCCAGCAGCGAGGTTAGACCATTACGTTACGTTACGACATTAGCGGATCGCACACACACGCAAGAGCGGATTGATGAATGGATAGCCATCTAGTAATTAGGAGAATAGGATTGTGTCCTAACCAGCCGCACTAATGCCATATGAGCCGAAAATGCCACTCGGGCGTCTGTAATTATGAGATATCTCTTCATTTGGTAATAATATTTTGCTTAGATTATAATCTATCAGAGATGCACTCTTTTTCATTACGGACATTCCGAAATTCTGACATCATGGACATTCGATAAGGGACATCCTTAATATAAACTCATTCGGTAAATCATCTGTGGGGACATGCATGCCATGATATCAAACGCTGTGGTAACATTTTGGTCTTTACGACTCAATATCAAAACACCAAACGGCTTTGGGTGCCCTTCTGCGGCCTGTAAACGGTCCACGTAGAAGCTGTTTTTCGTCATTTCCTGATCATAAATTTCCCTCGTGCTCGCGATAAACTGGGAACTGGAGCTAACTCTAAATCTTTCTGGGGCTGTCGGCGGCGGCGGCCGGCGGCCGGCGGGCGGTGCCGGCCGGTGGCAGCGGTCGCTGGCGCCGTTCATCACTTTAATAGGCATTTGTCGCAATAACTCTCTGCGAGGCGTTTTCGGCGGCTTAGTATCTTCACTGGGAATGATATACGGCGGCGGTAGAAATTGGACTGCTTTGTGGTGCGGTCGGGGCTGTCTTTTTGACGGGGCCGCCGGCGGTGGTCGGCCTACTGCCGCTGCCGCTGCCACTCGACACATCGGGACACAGGAGCAGCGCACGGGACCGCCGCCGTAGAAAGTCGGCTATTTTCGGCACCGCTCGTGTTAAGTTGTTGTTAACCTTATTGTGCCTCTGACATTAATCTAATTAAAGACGCTTAATCGTGATGCTTCTCTTAACCATAATCGCTGGTTTGACAGCGGTGCGACTGACTATGTGTAGGCACGCTCCGTTCTACAGATAGGTGCGACGTTTCCTCCGTTGGTGGAATACGAATGCCATGGTGAAGTGTACCGGTGCCGCGGACTGACCTGCTGCGCCTCTCTCCCCCGCTCCCTCTCACTCTGTCTCCATACTGACCTGTATCCGTAGTGGATGTTGTCGCCGCACCCGCTCTATGTACTGACCTGTATCCGTAGTGGATGTTGTCGCCGCACCCGCTCTATGTACTGACCTGTATCCGTAGTGGATGTTGTCGCCGCACCCGCTCTATGTACTGACCTGTATCCGTAGTGGATGTTGTCGCCGCAGCCGGTCTATGTACTGACCTGTATCCGTAGTGGATGTTGTCGCCGCAGCCGCCCCACACCCACTCGTCGTCGAGGTGGTCGGGCCGCGCCGCCTGCGAGCACCCGCACGAGGCCAGCTGCCCGTCCCGGCACGAGCGGGCCACCGACATCACCACGCCGGCAGCGGCGATCGAGTGCGCGAACGCCGCCTCCCGGGACGCTGCCGAAGGACACCGGTCAGGTCAGGTCAGTTTAGGGGTCATGGGTTACAGTTCACAGGTCAGAGGGAGGGCTAAGGTCACAGGTCAGGGGGAGGGTCTAGGTCATACATATGTCAGAGGGTGGGCAAAGGTCACATGGAACAGGGCGGGTCATGGTCAGTTTCGGTGACCTCAGAAGTCCGGGTTAAGTATGGACCTGTTCTTTCAGTTGTTCTGTTCAGGCGTTCTGTTCAGTTGTTCTGTTCAGTTGTTCTGTTCAGTTGTTCTATTCAGGTGATCTGTTCAGGTGTTCTGTTCAGGTGCTCTGTTCAGGTGTTGGGCCCACGTGCCGTGTCACCTGTCGAGGAGTGGTCCGTTTCTCCGGAGTGGCCATCCCAGCCTCACCTCACCGCTCTCCGGAACGGGGACACGGGGTTAACAGGAGATAAGTGGGACAGGACAACAGTTAATCCAGAAAAAACGATAGTTAATTCAATCAACACATGTTGATCAATGTAAACTGGACGATACTACTTCATATTTCCATCATTCATAAATGTTACATTCAGTCGCAACACGCGACACAACCAAAAATAGTCAGAATGACGATTGTTATACCGGTCAAGACGTGAGCCATTCCAACATGAGTCATGAAGACCCTTACTTCATCATGTCATAAGATAACTTCGAGTACCTCGATTCCAGCGCGATTCCTGGAATCCCCAGGTAAATCCAAGCTAATTTATGTTCCCGCAATTCATGCGACGGTGTTAATATGCTCGGGCTCAATGTAAAATTTTCTGATCCCTCTACTGCATGAATGATTTGATATCATGCTTATGAATCAGCCAGAGGAATCTTATATTTTTTCCATTTCGACATGCATCTACGTGAATAAAAAGTAGGAATGCTTGTTACATTTAACAATAAGCTTGCGAGCATAACTTGTGATTCAGAAAGAACTCAGACCGCATGAAATGTTGCGCCGGACATGGTGAATGGTCCTGTCCGTGACCGCTGGCTGAGCGCCGTTGGGTCACTCTGGGTCACCGATTCACCTCAGGTCACGTCAGGTCACCCCAGGTCGCCGGCCGGGTGCCTCCAGGTCACCCCAGGTCGCCGGCCGGGTGCTCCAGGTCACCCCAGGTCACTGGCCCTCACTGTGCCCCAATCAGCCGCCCGTTTATGGGGGTCGTTACTGCTGCCGCCCTTCGCTCCGCGTTCCCACGCCGGTGACGGTGCGTTTACTCCCAGGAGGTCAGCATTCGGACCGGCTCATTGTGTTTACACGGGGTAATCGGCGTGTCAACAGGGAGCCGGCCGACAACAGCGCGCGGCGGTGGCGACATGGGACCGCCGCCGCGCTGCTCTGGGGACTCCGGGCGGTGGGCGGCGGGCGGAGGACGGGGAGCTGGTGGCGGCTGGTGGGCGGTGGGAGTCGGTAGGCGGAGGGCGAAATGTTGACCGATATTGAGGACTGGCACTTCGCCGCTCTAACAGCGCGCTCAAATCAACTCCTGATTGTCACGGGCTTACTTTCTAGTGCAACCGACAACAGCGATCGACATTTGAGTAGGTAGGCATATTCTAAATTTCTGCGCTGGCCGGCACACCAGCCAATATGCGTCGCTTCCTGTTAGTCCATTCCAACGAGATCCGGAAGTCCTGAGTTCTGGTGCCGCGACTTCGATTCCCCGTTCTTTCCCCTCTCAGCAAAAGGCCCGGCTCCACATACATGAGTTTACCGTGGAGAAACCACCATGCCAAACTGCAGACCGATGTCGGGTGAAGTCCCCGTCTCCCGCAGCAGTCGGCACTCCAGCGTCCTCAGAGTCAACATCAGCGGCTCTCGAGTCGTGTGGTCAAACTGACCGCTGCGCCGTCAAACGTGCCGGCACACACCCGCACACAGACATACAGAGGGTGCCGAGGGGTGACCCAGGCGGCGCCGGTACCGAAATGGGCGCCGGCGCTCCCATGTACGGTGGGTTTGTGATGCAAATTCAACGCCGTAGCTTCACACGTTTATCGGTGGGTCCACTCATTTGGAAAAACGTTCATGGGGATATACTATGGATGATGACACTATTATGTCGAATTACCGAGGATCGTCTCACAATCTTCTCGTGCAATTCCTCGTTGGAGGGTCTCCTCAATGCCCCATTGACACAGAAACCGGGTCGTGCGGCCTTCACACAGGTGACCGAAGAATGCGACCCCACCACAAGGCAGCCCTGGGCATTGTGCCTGGCCCGGAGGCCGTCTCCTTCCCACCATCAGCGGCTGGAGGTCTCCATCAGCATCACACACCGGTACCACAAACCTTCCCACCACTCCCAGTAACGTTTGAAGTCGCACTGACGTCATAAAACCCTCCCTGGCAGACACGTAACACTGGCTCATCATGGTAATAAGGCTTCCGGCGGTTGGAGAGCCGCCGAGCACACACCCTTCCTTTCCCTTCTCCACCTTGGAGCTGAGGTGTGCTCTGATCGCTCCGTGGTTTCCTCGAGCTTATCTACAGACACGAGTGTGTTCTAAACAGTCACGAATCCTACCGCACTGCAACATCTGTCCGTCAATATACTCACGAACCGGGGTAATCACTTACTCTCAGTCTAGTACCGTAACCGCATTGAAAGTCATGCATTCACTCAGGGGCGTAGGCAGGGGGGGGGGCCACTGGGCCATGGCCCCCCCCCCCCTTGGGCGCCGAAGGCGCCCTTTGCGATTGGAGGGCGCCGAAGGCGCCCTCCAATCGCAAATGCAATTGTGATATAATCGAATCGAAAAACAATCGCGACTGGAGGGCGCCCTCCAATCGCGAATGTGTTTACAGGGAAAATACGGATGGAGGGCGCCCTCGGAGGACGCCCATTCCAAATACGCCCTCCAAATACGGTTGGAGGGCTCCCTCGGGCGCCCTCCAACCACATTTGTAGGCTGTAGCTCTCTAAGCGTAACGGTGGTCGCCTATGTAAGCCGCTGTCCTGTAAATAAGCGCCCTCTCACCCGAAGGCGCCCTCCTGTAGGTCGCCACCCTGCTACACATTGCCGCCCTTCTGCTGATCGGCGTCCTCATAATTATTGGCGCTCTCCTACCTATTGAGCCCTCATGTGAAATTTTGAAGGCCGCCTTTCTCCCTTTTGGCACCCTCTTGTTCAGTGCCGCCCTCCTACCTATTGGTTCCCTAGTCCTTCCTGTTGAATGTTAATCGGGGCCCTTCTCCTATTGGCGCCCTCGTGTAGATCGCCGCCCTCCTAACCACTGGCACCCTCCTGTTGATCACCGCCCTCCTATCCACTGGCACCTTCCTGTTGACCAGCGCCCTCCGCACAGACGCCCTCCTGTTCGTGTCATCCTCTTGAGCAAAGGCGCCCTCCTCACCATTGCCACCCCCATTTTAATCGTCACCCTTCCGCTCATTGGCGACTTCCAGTTGATGACCGCCCTCCCACCTATTGGCAACCTCTTGTTGATCGCCACCCTCCTATTGGTGCTCTCCTGTTCCTCGCCACCCTCTTACCTGGTGGCGCCCTCCTGTTGATTGTTGATCGGCGCCCTCCTACCTATTGGTGCCCTCCTGTTGATCGCTGCCCTTCTATCCATTGGCGCCCTCCTGCTGCTCGCCAACTTCCTACCTATCGGTGCCCTACTGTCGAAACTCGGGATGTTGATCGGGGCTCTTCTACCTATTAGTGCCCTCCTGTGGATCGCAGCCCTTCTACCTATTGGCAACATCCGTTGATCGCTGCCCTCCTATCATTTATTTACTCCTTTGGCATGTTTTTCAACTTAGTCGTTCTATTGCACATAGTTGATGTCTTGCCTGTGAAAACTGCCACAAATGAACGTGCATTCAGCACAATGAATGAAGTATCTATACCTACCAAAACTATCTACGCTCTACGATGCATAAAACACGTCTTTGGTCTTAACGGATTGATCCTACTTTACGTGCATCATGGCATCTATATGGATTACGATTAAGTATTGTCAACAGGTTCGGGCGCAACAGCAGGCATCTGAAGTTTCGGTGATTGAAACTGGTTATGTGGGTACACTGTATGCATCTGTGAGAAGGCTATGAAGGCTGGTCTGAGGTAATTTGGATGATGTTTACGCATCTCGCGCTCCGGTATCAATCCGATACGGTGATCTGGTGCGTAGATATGCCACCGCCAATAAACTTTTATACATCGACACCCATGAGCCAAGCTTTCTGTACAGTTTGTGTGGCAGCGGCCCGACCAAACCTTAGGTATTTTTTACACCTTCAAATTTGGTAAAAGAGCGAGAGGAGCTTTGAACAGTGATCGTATAAAAGGCGTGCCTAAAAAGCGGAGGAAAAGGTTGTTTTCAAAAATGTCGCGCGCCTTCGGCGCAGCATTTCAAGAACACTTGACCTTTTGTGACCTGGAGTATAAAGAATACACACGATGCAAAATCAATGCAGCACGACCTATACGAGGTTACGCAAAAAAAAAAAAACTGGTGGCATGGTAAAAAACGCCTCCCAACCCCCCAACCCCCACTGAGCGATTTTTTATCTCGCGACCGTATGACGCCCTCCTTGGGTGAGGTGGCGCCCTCCAAACCCTTGGCCCCCCCCTTCGCGATTTTCTAAATACGCCGCTGCATTCACTCGGACCAGAGTCATTCACTTTCTCACAGTCTATTCTTCATGACTGTAACCTGTTCGTCGTCACAATCCTATTCTGTTTTCTAATGGATACAACGATCAATTAACGATCAAACGATCAATGTTCACTGTTATCTCTGCCATCATTATTGGATAATACAGATGATATCGATGATACTATCCCAGCCCTCACGACACATGACTCATCCCCGACCCCCGCGGCAGGGCGGGGCGGCCCAGCCCGTGCCACGTCTCAACCCTGACTAACAGCGGCATGGTGGTTCACGGTTATGTACTCACGAATCTGGAGGACGGGCCCGAACACGGACGAGTCGTCCACTGTGGAGCAGTTCCAGCGACTGTGCCGAAACTGGTGCTGGCACTCGGCGATACCCGCCCGAGCGCCGCGGCCCACGCTGCTCATGTGGTCCTGTGGGCAAAGAGCGTCAGGTTAGGTCTGAGGTCAGGACACGGGCTCGGGACAGGATAGTCAGGTCCGGGCGACTCAGAACCATCGTGGCGAAATATTTCAAGAGACAAGTTGGGTAGAAGTCGTTGCATGTGCATTGTGCAATGCATCCGGCATCAACCCATATGAGCTGGCTGGATCAGAAAATGGTGGCCATTGGAAGTCCCAGCAGCTCTACCGCTACTGGGAAGCACATTCGCCAGACTGAGACCTGCGTGCACCCTCGACTCCACACGGTCCGATAAGTCAGCCGCGGCCCTCAGCCCGGTGGTGAGCTCACCAGGTCTGTGTGGGCGGCCGGGAGTGAGCAGCGCCGTCCGAGCGGCGCGCGGCAGGACGCGGCAGCCGCGCTCCATGCAAATCAGACGCATAAGTATGCACGAATTCGAGTCTTCAATCGAAATAACGAAATGGCTGTCGGTGGGCTCCGGATGATGGACGGATGGCTGTCAGGTGGCGGGGTGCAGGGGTGGCGCGGGGGTGGGACAAACGCCGCAGATTGTCAGCGGACGGGACCGTCGGGGTCGCGGACTCACCTGCCGGAGCTGGCAGAGCTTCCTCTGACCCGGACTGAGGCCGGGGATGCGGCCACACAGCGGAGATGTGCCCACCACGTAGATCTGTGGATTCCGCCACACGTCCAGACCCTGCATGCCCAGATTCCTGAAACACGGACAAATCCAGGTGTCAGGCGAGTCCAGCCGGGGCAAACACTACCAACATGAATGAGCGACTGGAACAAATGGGGCCTATCGGTAATGGGATGCACACACGTTGCATCAATACGATGTAGTGAGACGTTGGGTGCTCTCCATGGCCGGGGTCAGGGGCCGTGGTAGTGTCATATCGTGTGGTGTACTGTGTGCAGTGTGCACTATATCCCCCAGTCAGTCGACGCCTCTCTAACTGCGACCGACGAGCAGCCCAGTGAAACACAGCAGCCCTAATCGCATCCCACGCTGGCTGCCGGAGACCGCCACCCCTCCCTGCATCCCTCTCGCTTCTCTCTCCTTTCAGCCGGCTGACTTGGCCAATTACCTGCTCCAAACGGAGCTGCGGAGCCCTTTGAAGGCGGCACGATCCCGCTCTGCGGCTCAATTCGGAGCGACACCGCGTACTGCCGGCGCGCTGTCGGGCGAATCATCGCGCCATTAGCCGGCCGTCGCCGCCGACCAGGTCGTGATAATTAATTCCGGGCGAAAGTCAAACGGGTGACCGAGTCACTCATCACGGCGCACTGTAGGCCGGCAGCCTGAAAAAGCGCTAGAAATTCCCCCAAACTGATTGTCCGCAATATGAACAAAATAGGTAGCATTTAATCCCAAATTGATCGAAGAATACGATTCCGATGCTGGTTTTGCCCTAAGGTCAAAATTGAGGTCGTCAGTTGTCACCAAACACAAGACAATTTAGACTCTCTATAGGCCACCACATTTACCGATTTTAATGATGAACTTTAGTGGTAATTTATTAGTTGAACGATCGTCGTTTTGAACGAAATTTCCTGTCAGACTAGTTCAGGGAACTGTTGTTCACTGTGCCAACATCATTCTGACATATTGCATCGCTTTTCTGCAAGATAAGCTAGCTGTTTGCAAGCAGCTGCAAGACGTAATTTAAAATCATATCCAATTTTTCAATTAGACTTTTATAAAAACGTTATTTCGAGCAGCTAAAAATGAACATTTCATACTAGCCTCTGATTACTCATCTTCTGTTCCATATAGGTGCTTTGCTGCTTTTCCCTGCTACTTTTCGAGATATACGCCAGTAAACCACATGATGTAGGGGCAATTGTCACCTCGCCGCTCTACTGAAGGCCCGGCGCTCTTTAAAACGCTGGAAGTTGTGAAAAACAAATGCTTATAATCTAAATGAAATATATGTCCCTGAGCTCAGAATTGATCAACGCACACAATGCTGTCAACATTTCTGGGCCAAACTAAAAAAATCAGTCATTATTAACCCCTAAACACAAGTCAGTGATAATCAACAACAACTTGCTCTTTAGTTAGACTTTTTGAGAAATGTTATTTCGAGCCGTTAAAAATGGCCATGCCATACAAACCACCAATCATCTTTCTGTCATGCCCTACTCGCAATTTTTGCTAATGCCTGCTACTCTTCGAGGTCACGTGACCTCACCATTAAAAGTGAATGGGGAAATAAGGAAACTGTTGTTTTTGCGCATGGAATGATTTCAAACTATCTCAAGCACACGGAATCGTGATTTCGTGCACTCCTTGCAAGATCCGATGCTTTACTTTTGCATTTTTGACCTTCCGTGACGTCATTTATGACGTCACACCGGTCATAGGAGTTTCTCGTCAATAATTCATGATCGAATTGAGCCAGCGACTCGGGAAAGCCACCAATGGACTCGGGAAGACCTCCCGAATCGAATGATATGCGATACGACCTCCTTCGATTAAGTTCGTGGCCTGATGGGCTCTGAACTGACCTTGACTCGAGGTCAATACCTTAAGTTGACCTCACCCGAACAAAAAGTACACCATTCGACGCGCCTGAGCCAGACGAACACGATGGTGCCAAAATCGCTGCTCTGCGGCCATTTTTTGCGAAATTATTTGCCAAAAACCAAACCCTACCTTGGGCTTTTTGACATCACCTCAGAGGTTACCGGTTGACCTGGAACCTTAAAATCGGGTATCAATCGTTCCGCCTTGAAACGGCGCACACGCTTGTTTTTTTCCGCGAGGCTCTAGCTCCATTAGGGGCGAAACGGCAAAAAGGGGTCGTACCAACCCTTCCCCCTCGGCCGGCCGAGGGGGTGGGGGGTCCGACAATAGGTCCGGCGAGGGTTAAGCAGCCCCACTTCGTTTTTAGCATGTTTGCTTGTCACTGAGATCAACAACTCAATCACAAATAATTTCTAGCACTTTTCCGGACCCCCGGCCCAGTGTGCGGCGGCTGTCCGTCCCAGGACGGCTGTCAGCGCGGACCGACAGTAGCCGGGGACCATTAGACCGGTATGGTCCGTCCGTCTGGCACTGTCTGTGGTGGCGGGGGCAGGGAGCGGACCATTAGACCGGTGGGCGCCGCTCTAACCACCGACTAATTTGTATAAACATGAGCCGGGCTGTGGAGGGGAGGGCGCCACTCGGCGGCGATAGTCGCGGCCTCTAATGACAGACCGCCCCGCCGCGCCGCCCCGGCCCGAGCCACGTCAGCGGGGCGTCACGGCGCCGCGGCTCATTGAACAGCCGTCACGGAACGACCGCGGACCCGTCACGAAACGGCCGCGGACCCGTAACGGACCTGTCTGAAGTCGCAACCGCAATCCAGTCATGGTTGATGCACAAATTCTTTTGTCGACCCTTAGACTGCACTGGTCGGTGCTGGGCTCGTGAGGATCAAGTTGTGTTGTGCAAAGCCCAGATGAGGGCCCGTTGTTGACTCTTTGCAGGCCGGCATCTACGATCGAAGGTGCCGCCGGTTAGGTGGAGCGGAAATGGCCACAGAGAGGGGTGCAGCATTACGGAAACGACCGCAGTCAATTGCAGCAGGACAGTAACGCTCCGAGTTCCTGCCATTGCAGGGTGGAGGCAGGAGTACCTCCTCCGGGGCTGGGTTTTGGGCGGCGCATGACTCGACCGGGTGAATTAAACGTCGTTAGCTCTCCAAACTGCCGTGCTCGTGCCATACCCCTGCTGTATTTATGCCGTGCCCATCGCCCATGCCGTGCCCTGACCTGTCGTGCTCCCTTCCAGTAGCAGTGCAATGCCGGTGACAGGGCCGTGGGCTGGCGACTGCCTGCCGGGTGGCCCTGTGTGTCAGTGCCCTGACTGGAGCGAGCTCCGCCCTGTCATTGCCTGGTTACGGGAGGGGAGCCGGTGCACCACGGGAGCTATGGCCCCGCTGACCTCGCTAGCACGAGTCCACCTCGCAGTCTGTGTAAATTGTGCCCGGCGAGCACCGCCAGGGATGAATGAAATCGGCCCACACCGCCATGGGCCAAACACATAGCGCTCACACTCATTTCACCTGAAAATCGGTATCTCGAGTGCATCAGCTATTATATCACCTTGACCGACACACTGGGCATTTGCATTTTGCCGTAAAACTGGGCCTGTGCCGCGACTCCCACCGCGCTGGGCCAGCCTCACGGCGCACCTGGGTGTTCCTGGCCCGGTGCCGACATTTGAGCGCCCTTTCCTTGGATCTTATCGACAGTAATGGGGCGTCTACGATCGGCTTTAGGTGAGAAGCGGGCTGTCCGCGGGGCGTCATTGGCCCGTGTTGGACGGCGTGTCGGCGGCGGCTCCGGAACCAGCGCACGACGGCCGATACTATCGCTCCGTGCATCGCCATCTCTCCGAAATCGCTTCGCATCGCTATCGCCCAGTCATTGTTCTGCCATCGCTCCTCCATCGCACCGGCATCACCGTCTCGCCGGCATATCACTCTTATCATTACCGTATCCAGCTGCATCCGACCGATCTTGCCATCGCTATCCATCACCTATCTCCGGTCTCACAATCGCCGTTCATCGGCCTAGCAATGGCCAGCCATCAGATCACCCCACCCACAATCGCGGAAGGGTGGCTCGCGATCCGAGCCAATGTCCAACGATTCGACCTTGCTCCCACCATCGAAGGCAGAGCTTAGCGCGGCAGCCAGTGTAGGCGAATCGGTCCGGGTCTGTCAGACATCGCCCAGTAGCCTGACGTCTGACGCCTCAGCGGGCCGACTCGCCCGGTGTGCGGACCGTGGCATGTCAGCCAGCCCAGCTGCCTGACGCCCCGGGCACGTCGGAACAGTCGCGACGGGCGTGAGACGGTGGCGTGGGACGGTTGTTCCGACAGTGAAAGTGACACTACACGTCTGCAATTGGACGTGAGGGCGCGCTCAGGCCGTGGACAGCCGCGGGCGGCGGGAACTTCCACCGACAGAGAGTGCGGCAGCGCCGGCGGCGACCGGGGAGGGATGGCGGGTTGGGTGCTACTGCTCGCTGACACGCCAGGTCGGCTCAATCATGGTGTTTCACTGAGACACAGTCAACGTCTGTGGTGCTCGATGTTTGATGCTTTTTTAATTGGGAGCTTACATTTTGGGGCAGAGATTCCATCGGTGATTATATAAAACTTTGGAACTGATTATGATAGCTGAAATGATTGATGAATGATGGCATAATTATGCGTCATCGGCATGAGCCAAGAAGCAGGCGTCAAAAGTGCTTAGTCACAAATCGTTGCATTGCATGTTTAGAGAGGCCTATCCTTTGTTAACCACGCAGTATAACGGTATAATTTGACAAATTAACACAGGAGGTAGTAATTGCCTTTTAGCTGCTGTGGATTTCCCTACATTCCAATCCCCACAGATGCTTCGAAAGCTTTACTGAGTAGGGTAAGGGCGGGTAAGAGCGGCCCCCGCCGAAGTTAGTTGGTAGCACTGCTGCTCCACGGCGTACATTTCCTACCAGCCCATAGGGTTTACATGTTAAATGGCCTGTTTTCGGCGAGCGATATCTCGGTCAACCTTTGAAGGAATCAATGGTTCTTAGTCTCAAATGATAGATCGATGAATTTTCTGTCGACAATTCCTCTACCATTTTTCATGAAACCCAGCCGATCTTCTACGGCGTACAGGGTAAAGATTTCTCTGCACGCCAGCACCCGCGATCCGCCTCTCCGATCGTC